TCCACTACCTCACTTGCTAGACTATTCCAGTTCCTGACCACTCTATGACTAAAATACTTCCTAACATCCCTTTGACTCATCTGAGTCTTCAACTTCCAAGTGTGACCACTTGTTTCTGGGTCCCCTCTCCGGAACATCCTGTCTCTGTCCACCTTGACTATTCCATGCAGCATTTTGTATGTCGTTATAATGTCTCCCCTAACCCTCCTGTCCTCCAGTGTCGTCAGGCCGATGTCCCTTTCTTAGGACATTCCCCTGAGCTCTGGAACTAACCTTGTTGCAAACCTTTGCTCTTTCTCTAACTTCTTGACGTGCTTGACCTTTTGTGGGTTCGAAACTGTTGCTTCATACTCCAGTATGGGCCTGACGTACCCGGTGTGCAGTATCTTGAACGATTCCTTACTAAGGTATCGGGATGCTATTCTCAGGTTTGCCAGGCTCCCCTATGCAGCAGCAATTATCTGGTTGATGTGTGCTTCCGGAGACATGCTCGGTGCTATACTCACCCCAAAATCTTTCTCCTTGAGCGAGGTTTGCAGTCTTTGGCCACCTAGCCTATATTCTGTCTGCGGTCTTCTTTGCCCTTACCCGATCTTCATGACTTTGCATTTGGCGGAGTTAAATTCAAGAAGCCAGTTGCTGGACTAGGTGTCCAGCCTGTCCAGGTCTCTTTGAAGTCTTGCCTGATTTAATTCTCCTCATTAACTTCACATCATCTGTGAACAAGGACACTTCTGAGTCTATCCCTTCCATCATGTTATTCACATATATCAAAATTGGCACTGGTCCAAGGACCGACCCCTGTGCGTTTATATTCATGCATGTATGTGTATACATTTACATATTTATTATTGCGTGTATGTGTAAGCTTGTACATATATATTGTACACCTGTGTATGTGTTGAATGTATGCAAAATTTTGCGTATAAGCATTTATGGATATATGTGTACTTAAAAATATTCATATGCATACATGTGCATATGTACATAAGTATACATGCTTGTGCATGTATACATAAGTATACATGCTTGTGCATGTATACATAAGTATACATGCTTGTGCATGTGTACATAAGTATACATGCTTGTGCATGTATAAATAAGTATACATGCTTGTGCTTATGTATACATGCGTGTATTTGTGTATGCTTATACATATGTGTGCCCTTATTTACACGTACGTGTGCATGTGTATATACGTTAGTCTGTGACTTATAATAATGTAAGAGACAATCATTCGGTTACTTGAGAAACAAAAAAAACAAAAACAGTCAGTGTTCAATATACATAATTTTTTCTAGATTTATTTTTTCCTTTCACATCTCAGAAACCAACAGCCTGATTTTAAAACTTAAATTTTTCTACTATGAAAGGATATATAGTAAATCATAGCAATGTAAAAAAATTATATATATATATATATATATAATATATATATATATATATATTATATATTTTATATATATATATAATATATATATATATATATATATATCCTAGGTAGTAGGTTGGTAGACAGCAACCGCCCAGGGAGGTACTACCGTCCTGCCAAGTGAGTGTAAAACGAAAGCCTGTAATTGTTTTACATGATGGTAGGATTGCTGGTGTCCTTTTTTCTGTCTCATGAACATGCAAGATTTCAGGTACGTCTTGCTACTTCTACTTAGGTCACACTACACATACATGTACAAGCGTATATATACATACCCTCTTGGTTTTCTTCTATTTTCTTTCTAGTTCTTGTTCTTGTTTATTTCCTCTTATCTCCATGGGGAAGTGGAACAGAATTCTTCCTCCGTAAGCCATGCGTGCTGTAAGAGGCGACTAAAATGCCGGGAGCAAGGGGCTAGTAACCCCTTCTCCTGTATATATTACTAAATTTGAAAGGAGAAACTTTCGTTTTTCCTTTTGGGCCACCCCGCCTCGGTGGGATACGGCCGGTGTGTTGAAAGAATATATATATATATATATATATATATATATTTATATATATATATTATATATATATATATATATATATATATATATATATATATATATATATATTTAGCTTAATATTTAATATTTGTTGTAGGGTTTAGAAAAAAAATATCTAAACGGCTAAACAGATATTAAATAAAAAATTATAAGATGTAGGTTTGAATTGTTTTAAGTCTCCTAAAAAAAGTCTCGTAGCTCGAACGAATAGATCTCATTAACCTGTGTATAAAATACATTATACTTTCTTAATTGTGAAAGGAAAATCATTCTTTGTTATTTTACTGGATGATGGAGTAGCAGCGTAATGCAGACACGTCAGATTCAGAATAATAGAAAAGTGAAGGTATAGATTTACAGCTTCATTTACTCGGGAGAGTATTATTATTATTATTATTATAATCAAGGGGGAAGCGCTAAACTCGGAGGATTATACAGCGCCTGGAGGGGATGTGGAAGGCATTCAGGCTTAATTCGGGGAACTGGAGCACAGATTCAATTCCCTAAATCAAGAGCCCCTCACCAACATCAAGGAACCTTCCTTGAGGGGACCAGGCAATGTTGATGTTGTGAAAATGTGTGTTGAAGTCGGGTAGATAGTGACATCCGTTGTCAGTCAACTTGGAGAAAGTAAGTCCCCATTGCTGCTGTTCCAGTTTTTTTTTTTATGTGACCCAGGTTCAGCTGGTTTTTTGGTATTCAAGCCCTATATATATAGATACATATACCTCCAGCATATTGGCATCGGGTGTATATAGCATGTCTGTGTAGGTTGTAGGACGCCAGTTCACGTGCTAGCCTCTTGATCATGTTATTATTTTATTATTATTATTATTATAAATAATAATAATAATATGATCAAGAGGCTAGTGATGAGTGCTTCAGTAGTTTACTATGCCCAAGATGGTATCATGCCTATTGTACTTTTAATATCAAATTTTACCAAGTATTTTTGTTCGGTTTATCTGCTTATAACTTCCCGGTGGTTCACCTGGGTAAGTATTGTCCTCTCTGTAACCCCTTCCAATTGTTCTTGTCCCCATCATCTCATGTTAAACACACTGTGTTTATCTAACCTGTCAATGCCTGTAAGTGCACTGTAGGCTGTACGAGAGACTATTCAGAATAGAACATTGCTCGTGGTGTCTTCTTTTCATTTTAATTATTTGAACGTTTTTTTTCCCCCCAGGATACGACCCACAACGAACACCTAGGTTTTATTTGCTGCTAGGTAAGTAGGAACTTGGGTGTTTGTTGTTGCTGGTCACATCTTGAGGTGAAGCGTCATAGCTGGGTTGTGAAATGAAGTGAAGCCTGAAAATTCAAGATTGCAAAAACATATATGGAGCACTCCTCATCTGCTCTCTTCCCCAGTGCATTCTTCTCACTACTCTTACTTAAAAAAAAATTAAGTATTTGGTTTATTCATGAGTATAATCTTTTCCTGTCCCCTCGCCCTGGTCCTTCTCGTGTCTCTTCAGGCATATTGTTGTTGCCTGTCATTATCTGGTATGTCTTGACTATAATATCCTCTCAGTTTTCATCTTTGCGGTATATGGAAATTCATTATTACTGAATTACAATAATTAGGAAGTGCTATACCCATGAGGGCCGTACAGGGCCTTGGGAATGGAGGGGTGAGGTAGTTTGATCAGAAGAAAGGGTAGTTCGAATATATAATCTCAGAAGCCCTTCACAATCAAGGCAGGTCTCATCGATGAAGGGAATTTAAAGTTCATCTCTTTTTATGGAAGTATAGTGTTTGTATACAGTCATCAAGTGTGGGTATTCCTGGCTAGTCTAATGTGTAGACTTATCAAGTTTGTGCTCATCTAGTGGGTACACTTAATATGTGCACTTATCTAGTGCGTGCATTCGTCTAGCTGTGTGTGTACATTCATCTAGCTGTGTGTACATTCATCTAGCTGTGTGTGTACATTTATCTAGCTGTGTGTACATTCATCTAGCTGTGTGTGTACATTCATCTAGCTGTGTGTACATTCGTCTAGCTGTGTGTGTGCATTCATCTAGCTGTGTGTGTACACTCATCTAGCTGTGTGTGTACATTCATCTGTGTGTACACTCATCGAGCTGTGTGTGTACATTCATCTAACTGTGTGTGTACATTCATCTAGCTGTGTGTACATTCATCTAGCTGTGTGTGTACATTCATCTAGCTGCGTGTACATTCATCTAGCTGTGTGTGTACATTCATTTAGCTGAGTGTGTACACTCATCTAGCTGTGTGTACATTCATCTAGCTGAGTGTGTACACTCATCTAGCTGTGTGTACACTCATCTAGCTGTGTGTGTACATTCATCTAGCTGTGTGTGTACACGCATCTAGTTGTGTGTGTTCACTCGTCTAGCTGTGTGTATACACTCATCTACCTGTGTGTGTACAGTCATCTAGCTGTGTATACATTCATTTAGCTGTGCGTACACTCATCTAGCTGTGTCTGCATTAGCCTGTGTATGTACACTCATCTGTGCGTGTACGCTCATCTAGTTTTATGTACGCTTATCTAGTTGTATGTGTACACTAATCTAGTTGCGTGTGTATTAACAAAGCTCTGTACACATCTAGCTGTGTGTGTACATTCATCTATTTGTGTGTGTACACTCCTCTGGCTGTGTACACTCATCTAGCTATGTACACTCATCTGGCTGTGTACACTCATCTAGCTATGTACACTCATCTGGCTGTGTACACTCATCTAGCTGTGTGTGTATTCACACTAGACCTGTATGGGCTACTCAGCGGAATGGCACACTCCATTTCTTTAACAATCATGTATCATGTACCGTAGGGTAGAGGTATTTCAGAAATATTATACATATACATATGTGTGTATGTGTGTGTGTGTGTGTGTGTGTGTGTGTGTGTGTGTGTTGTGTGTGTGTGATCATTTGATGTTCATAATCAAGTTTTAGTTTTTTTTGTATTTTTTTCCTCCTATGGTGAAAGAAAACACATTGAGATCATATGACGTTTATTATATATTAGACTAGATAGGTGGGCTTAATACAGGCTACCACAAGGAACCTCAGACACATGTATAACATTACTGTAGCATGCCTATTTTTGTTGCGTAACTCAGCTACGCATTGTATATTTGTTATTCCATAAGTTATAGGTTTGTACTGTCATCAGAACATTGGCAATTAACCAGTTGTCAACTTAATTCGGGCAGAAGTCACTCCAGGGGTCTCACTTCTACAGTCATTATTTATCTGTTAATGGTTCTGGGGATCATCTCTCCCGCTGCCCGATCTAAAAACATCTAATCCACACTGTTAAATGAAACAGACCATCTTCCCTGGTCAGTGATTAACATCACCAGCTGTGCTGTAGCCCACACTTGGATGGGAATAAGAAGAGATCTCAGAGAATAAGTGACACCATCTTACAGTTAAGCTACAACTGTCTAATTAATATACCAATGTCCTTATAAGGTTTAATACTTCTTCAGGTTTACATAAATATTTGAATTACAAATGTATATTGACATTCATATATGTTAATTAAGCTTAAATTTAGAATAAATACCTATGATGTAAATAATGTAAATAAAACAGCGATCTCGCTGTCTAGGGAGGTCAACACGCCCGGTTAAGTAGGATGCTGCCACCAATACATTGTATATGTATACATGATTTATGGGTGTGCTTATACATATTAAATGCTTTGCAAGACAATGCAGTATTTACAATATACAGGTATTGTAACGAGAAAGTGATGCTGTTTAAAGTGGTAATGATGATTATTGTTTCATGTTATGTCACTTGGCAATGTATTCTATAAATAATATGTCATCCTTGTGTAAAAAAATATACTTTATATATGTTTCACCACATAGTATATTTATATAATGAAATGAGAAAATTACGAATATGTAATATTTGTTCAAGTATATTAAAGATGACAGAAGCATGTAGCCGACACAGGTAATATATGGAAATACTGAACAAAGGGAAGAGAGGACCAAATTATAACGTCAGTTTGTAGATGATGAGGCAAGGCTATTACAGAGATGCAGTGTGTGAAAAAGAGCATGCTATGTCTCTTAAGACTGGCTAGATGACCCGTAGATCACATACCTTTTCTTGTGAAGACTTTGTGTATTTGTGTTGAGTGCTGATAATAAATATAATGATGAAAATTATAAATACAAGCGGGAATATAGTACTGTTTTCATATAATGAAGACAAAGCTAGAGAACTTGCACCAGTGAAGTCAGCACCTATGGTCTGGGGCACGTGCAGCCTTCTTCAATTTTTGAGGTAATGAAGTCCAAGAAATTTGTGAGACGTGTGTAGACGCCGGGGAACTTAGCACGAGCACATCCCTGGCCCCACGACACAACACCTGCAACCATAACATTATTTAACATACTTTTCAGACTGTAAAATTTAATATTGCACGTGTTTTTAAATCTTCCTGGTTAATCAAATCTTAAAAGAAAGATAATTCTTGATAATGTTGAGATTGTGGAAAACGAAATAATTTGACCTTGTATGTGACAGGATGACACGGTTAACTTTTTCCTTTGGAACAGTTCACAACAAAACCGAAATTTCCCCATTCAATATTTATTGACCATCAGTAAAAAAAATGATGAAACTCGTAAGTAACGCTAAACATATGGTAGCTCATAAGAAAATTTTGAGATCATGTGTAGCTACTAAGCCATGGCACTTGTTATGGTGGGTGGTAACTGCTGTAAGATTTTCAAGAAATCTCTAACGATATATGTATGACCTGAGCAATGACACTTGAGAGTGAATTGAAAACATTCTTTAGATCAAAATATTTCAACTAAAACAATTTAAGGAATATTTACTAACCGCTTGTTAATACTTATTTATCACCGTGCAGCTAATTCCTAACTGAGGAGATCCTACCTGTAAGACTTGTTTTGTCACTGCTTTAGTCAGTTGGTCACTCTTGAGCTGTTTATCACTTGTGGCAGTAAACAAAGTCCTCAAAAGTCCTTGTAGGAGATTGGCAGTAGATGGATCCTTGTGTCATCACTAGTGAGAAGTCTGGTCTTTGGTCATGTTTAAGCATATAATGTCTTTTCCGCTACCGTGTACGTATATGGTGAAACAAGGCTGTCAAAGGATCTTGAAATGATAAGTTACCATCAGCGTCAGAGCCGAACTCAAATACAAATTAGGACAAACATCCTAATGGTTAAAGCCTTGACAAAACTTTAATACATTAAACAATAAGAATATATCTGATACAAATGGAACTTGAAAATTCTATTAACAAGTATGGGGTGCATAATACAGCTATCAGACTATTAACACGTTTCTAGGTTTCGAATATATGTATTAAAATGTTTTCCTTAATATGTGACAAGAGTTGTCTGTATTCGAGGCATTAATAAACTAAAGTGAACTTTGTAGATAAGTATCTCAATGTCAACTCAGCTGGATACGAGTAATGGATGACGCAATTGTTTGTCAGGTATTCATAATAAAGTGAAGACAACACACGCCACAACGATACTGAACAGTGCATGGTTAGTTATTTAGTTTAGAATATGCCAAGACAAAAGCGAGAAGCCTTGTATTGCTACGAAAGCAAATGAAATAAACTTAGATAGACATGACCATCTTTGAACACCAGAAAATGATACATCAAAAAAGGCTTGCATCTTAAAGTAGAAAAAATAAATTAATGTTCATCCTCAGTAGATGATCATTTATGTATAAAACATGAACATTAATCACTGTGGTCCTATGCTTTAAAGCTTGGAATATTAACCGTACTAGTACAGCTAATATATTATTACAAGTCATTTTGCATTTTTTTGTCAAATATCTGCATTTTCTACATTGAAGAATTGTACCTAATCGCCTCTTACAAGTCCATCTCTATGAATATACTTACCAATAAGATCAATATTTTTGCCATTATCATAGAGGATAGGTCCACCGCTGTCGCCCTGTAATGCAAGATCAAAATTGGTTTTCAATTATATATTTATCAAAATGTGTCTACCTACACCAATAATATTAAATTTGAAGCAACAACAACAGAGCATTTGTATATAAATTAGTCTTTAGAAAATGTCCAATATAGTTAGTGCAATACTTCCTAGTTAAACCTGGGAATATTACATTTATTGGAGATAGGGGAGACTTGACTTAGTACAATAAGCAATTAAAAATAGTCTACCATTTCTCCTTTTACGAATGTTTTTGCGACCCTTACATTGTATATGTTAATGCATTTTATGAAGAATATATTTACCTGACAAGCGTCTATCTTTCCATCGTCGTATCCAGCACACATCATGTTGTCTGTGATCTCATTTGGCTTATACTTCTTCTTTTTACATTCCTTGTTGCTCATGATTGGTACCTTCACTTCTCTGACCACGTCACTAGGGTCTCCACTCTCCTCCTGACGACCCCACCCTGGCACGGAGGCTATCTTGCCTTCGTAGGTTTCGTCTGCCAGGGACAATCACATCATGTTAATGTACCTGAACTATGGCGAGAAACACGCCCACTTAATAAATTCATGTTTGGGCGAAGCGTTGTCAATAAAACTTTTTTATAACTGAATCTGACCCTTGCTCATCTTATCGGTATTTTATACCATAACCTATATATATTTAAACAAGTCACACAGATTATATTTAAGTAGTTTTGGATGCTATTTATTTTATAGAATACACTACAATAATAATAATAAACATAATAAACATATACCACTACTTTTCATGGTGGAAGTAGTAAATAGAAGTCAGCCTTTCATTCCACTGTAAAACATTCGTAAGGATAATGCCTGTTGGTTTTGGTATAACTCACTGGTGTTGCTGGGAAGGCACACAGGTCTGACGTGCTTGGTGATGGTGACAGGCTCGTCCAGCTCTATGACAGCAAGGTCATTGTTGTAAGAGCGATGGTCAAAGTTTGGATGAGGCCAAAAGGAGCCAGCTTTACGCTTTTGCCGCCACTCCTCCGTATTGTCACTCTTGTTATAGCTGCCAAACATGATTTCTACGGCGTGCATTGCCACTCTGTGGAGGGTAGAAGTATTCACATCTTTAATTACACTCAGAGGTTAAATTAGTTATATAAATATGTCATATAACTCAAATGAAAGATCCTCGAAGTCTCTGTGCACCAAAGTCACACTATTCACATACGAGTACCTAGATGTTAGTCTATTGTGAGTCGAATTCTGATGGTTGGTATACCCTAGTCAGGGCATGATTTATAAATGAGCTACGGTGGAATACCAGCTCATAGCTACTAAAAAAAAAAGTTCAAGATACTGAGAAGAACGATATGTGAAAATAAAGAATAGTGCTTCGTGATAAAAAAAAAAAATAGGAAAAAAATACCAGATAAGATACAGAACAGTATCCGACAATTCAACAGTCGTATATCCAACAATTGAAAACAAAGCTATAGTGAAACAAAACGTAAATGAAACAGTAAACACAATAGAACAATAATCGGGGTGGAGCAAAAGCGTGTACTCAAAACAATGATGGTGCCACAAATAGGATTTAAGGGTTTGATTAAGATTAAGTACTGACCGCCTTATACAGTGAGCAGCGGTGACGATGTATCGGTCGCTGACCAGGGAGGCACCGCAATACAGCTTACCACGGTATGTTAAGGACGCCAGCCACGGGTATTTGCCCGCTGAGGTCGGGTGACCACCTACCACTCGGCCGTCTCGGTTAGGGGTCCCACAAGCTGTCCACAAAATGACACTCTTTATTTAATAATAATAATAATAATAATATCTTTATTTACTACAAGTACATGTACATGGTATACAGGCCTAGCTGACAACAATGACATACTACTATATAGAAAGCCCCTTGTTATGCTGAGCATGTCGGGCAAATTAGGTCAGTGTCCCAGGATGCGACCCACACCAGTCGACTGACACCCAGGTACCCATTTTACTGATGGGGAACATAGACAACAGGTGGAAAGAAACACGCCCAATGTTTCTACTCTGGCTGGGAATCGAACCCAGGCCCTCGCCGTGTGAAGAGAGAGCGTTAGCCACCAACACTCCCAGTTATTTTCACTATAAAAATAGATAAAGCATATGGAAATAATTCATACTGTTTGACTTTATTAGGGCAACTTAGATTAAAGCTACATTTACTACTTTAAAGTGAGTGATGATCCAGGATGGACCGAAACATTAATTTTTTTTTATTTATTAATGGAAAGAATTTCGTTGTAGGCAGCTGATACTTACTGAAGGCTTTACACACTCCTCCACAAGTTCCTCTGCTTCTCGGCATTGCACGCCTTACGCCGCCCTAAAACAAGTTAAAATATCTATGAATATTTACTTCCAAGGAATTGTTTGACCAGTATCATATACATATATCATACATACTTCTTGGTATTGGAATAAACATTATGCAGTTTTTGCTGGCATTTTTTCAAAGCTGTCTCGGTTCAGGTATCACAACAGGAGAGCTGGTCCTTGTCCGTGCTCAAGGTAATTTGAATTTCGTCGCTCTTGTGAAATACATTTTAAATAATGCTTTTAAATAAGGTATATACATTGCAAATAACTTTGTATACTGCTTTTCAAAATCCTCACTAAAGCTTCAATTTATTATAAAGAAATCAAGTGCGTGGCTGGAAAAAATCATATATATAATCCGGATATTGAAAACAAAAGCTGTACATCTGAATCCGTCCTGACCGCAACTTAATAGTAGTGGACGGACCCAAACGTCTTTCAGTTTTTATTTTAAATTTGTGGGGGGAGTGAAATCGGATGTAAGCACAGACATTCTATATTTTTAGCTCCACTTAGCGTAAGATGCCTCAGGCGACCACCATGTCTTGAGCCAGGCTTGGTACTGTGCAGCATGGAAGTGACAGTTGGATTATTTTACTTGTTGATGGTTCTGAGAATCAACTTTCCCGCAGCTTGGTCTTAGACAAGGCATCCTAGTTAACTTCTTCATAAGTTAGACTGTTGGCGTCGGTTGCAATTAATACTACGTAGGCACTACAGGGAAGTTGATCGGAAATTAATCCGTTATTATAAAGACTAATTTCAGTGTGGAGATATCGAACCAATCTCAAGTATTTTTGTCGCCTGCATTCAAGGATTAACGGTTTGAGGGATCTTAGACGTTACCAACAAGGAACGTTTCAGTAGGCTTTTTGACACAAGCTAGACAGGTCGGATCCCATCTATACATCCTCTTCAGTAGCACTACTTGACAGTTCGTTTCACTCATAAGTCTACTACGAAACCAGTGGTTCCCTAAATCCTTTTTATTATAGCGAGCGGCTCCGTACTACTCTTCTTTCCTGGACACTACTTGACCAGCTGGTTATGACAGTATTTACGTATTGTTAACTGTTAACCCAATTGCATAAACAGGAGGTTTACGTCTGGCAACAAAGAATGAATCTGTGTCGCTTAGATAGTTTGAAACTGCACGTTCGTCATCTACAGTGGAGGATGCGTTGGACAATGAGTAAGCTGTAAGCTGCATGTGTTGAGTGTGTTGGTTCAAAATTGCCTCTCTCTCCCTCCATTGTTACCACGTTAGTCATCACACGCTCACGCAAAGTTTAAATCTGGTTGTTTAAGACCTGGGGCTTACCACCATGACTTAGCACTAGTTAACGTATTTTTAAATAATCCTGGTGGCATGGTGAAGTAAGAAGGTGGTATAGCTAGGAAGGTTAGCGAGTTTGCTAGGTATAAGTGCCATCGTAACACAGTCCCTTTTCTATATGCAGTATGAATATATGAAATGAGTAACAAGAATGAATATAAATTACTTTTATGCTCTGTGTGCGACTCATTCTCCTAATAGAACGTTAATTTAGTTTAATATAATGCAAATACCGTTGAAAAAAGCAACTTGAACATTGGCAACTCCATTAAAATAATTCCCCATGTTTTACCCTTTCTCTTTCACCTGCTGCTGCTAATAAGTAGCCTTTATTTCTGACCCTGAGAGAAAAATGGAGTTAGACCAAATATGCAGTGGAGTACATCAGGTGCATCTAGTTGAACTAGATGACTTCTTATTACTGCTAGAATGTTGTTACTACCAGAAGGTTATCTATGACAATCGCTGGTTTTCTTAACGTAATGATCTATCAGCTGTAAGTAAACCTAGGCTGAATTTACTTAGACATTAAGAATGTATCAAGTTTAAACCTAAAATAAAAATTAAAAAAATCAAGTGTATATACAGTGATATACACATATCTATTTGTCGATCTATTTATGTATCTTTGCATCAATATATATATATATATATATATATATATATATATATATATATATATATATATATATATATATATATATATATATATATATATTATATATATATATATATTATATATATATATATATATATATATATATATATATATATATATATATATATATATATATATATATATATATATATATTACACATGTTTATTTATACACACTCATCTGAGTTTTCTTTGATTTTATCTTAATAGTTCTTGGTCTTATTACTTTTCCTTTTATATCCACCTAGAAGTGGAATAAGAATCTTTCCTCCGTAAGCCATGCGTGTTGTAAGTCAACTAAAATGCCGGGAACAATGGGCTAGTAACCCCTTTTCCTGTCAAGATTACTAAAAAGAATAATAAAAAGAAAACTGTCAAAGTGGGAAGTCTGAATGTGCGTGGATGTTGTGCAAATGATAAGAAAGAGATGATTGTGGATGTTATGAATGAGAAGAAGCTGGATGTCCTGGCTTTAAATGAAACAAAGCTGAAGGGTGGGAGAGTTTCAGTGGAGAGGAATAAATGGGATTAGGTCAGGGGTTTCAAATAGAGTTAGAGCTAAAGAAGGAGTATCAATAATGTTGAAGGATAAGATATGGCAGGAAAAGAGGGAATATAAATGTATTAATTCAAGGATTATGTGGAGTAAAATAAAGGTTGGATGTGAAAAGTGAGTTAAAGTAAGTGTATATGCACCTGGAGAAGAGAGAAGTGTAGAGGAGAGAAAGAGATTCTGGGAAATGTTGAGTGAATGCGTGGAGAGTTTTGAACCAAGTGTGAGAGTACTTGTGGTTGGGGATTTCAATGCTAAAGTGGGTAAAAATGTTGTGGAGGGAGTAGTAGGTAAATTTGGGGTGCCAGGGGTAAATGTAAATGGGGAGCCTTTAATTGAGCTATGTGTAGAAAGTGATTTGGTAATAAGTAATACATATTTTATGAAAAAGAGGATAAATAAATATACAAGGTATGATGTAGCACGTAATGAAAGCAGTTTGTTAGATTATGTATTGGTGGATAAAAGGTTAATGGGTAGGCTCCAGGATGTACATGTTTATAGAGGGGCAACTGATATATCGGATCATTATTTAGTAGTAGCTACAGTTAGAGTAAGAGGTAGATGGGACAAGAGGAAGGTGGCAACAAGTAGGAGGGAAGTGAAAGTGTATAAACTAAGGGAGGAGGAAGTTCGGGTGAGATATAAGCGACTATTGGCAGAAAGGTGGGCTAGTGCAAAGATGAGCAGTGGGGGGGGGGTTGAAGAGGGTTGGATGAGTTTTAAAAATGCAGTATCAGAATGTGGGGCAGAAGTTTGTGGTTATAGGAGGGTGGGGGCAGGAGGAAAGAGGAGTGATTGGTGGAATGATGAAGTAAAGGGTGTGATAAAAGAGAAAAAGTTAGCTTATGAGAGGTTTTTGCAAAGCAGAAGTGTTATAAGAAGAGCAGAGTATATGGAGAGTAAAAGAAAGGTGAAGAGAGTGGTGAGAGAGTGCAAAAGGAGAGTAGATGATAGAGTGGGAGAGGCACTGCCAAGAAATTTTAACGAAAATAAGAAAAAAATTTGGAGTTAAACAAGTTAAGAAAGCCTAGGGAACGTATGGATTTGTCAGTTAAAAACAGAGTAGGGGAGTTAGTAGATGGGGAGAGGGAGGTATTGGGTAGATGGCGAGAATATTTTGAGGAACTTTTAAATGTTGAGGAAGAAAGGGAGGCGGTAATTTCATGCACTGGCCAGGGAGGTATACCATCTTTTAGGAGTGAAGAAGAGCAGAATGTAAGTGTGGGGGAGGTACGTGAGGCATTACGTAGAATGAAAGGGGGTAAAGCAGCTGGAACTGATGGGATCATGACAGAAATGTTAAAAGCAGGGGGGATATAGTGTTGGAGTGGTTGGTACTTTTGTTTAATAAATGTATGAAAGAGGGGAAGGTACCTAGGGATTGGCGGAGAGCATGTATAGTCCCTTTATATAAAGGGAAGGGGGACAAAAGAGATTGTAAAAATTATAGAGGAATAAGTTTATTGAGTATACCAGGAAAAGTGTACGGTAGGGTTATTATTGAAAGAATTAGAGGTAAGTCAGAATGTAGGATTGCGGATGAGCAAGGAGGTTTCAGAGTGGGTAGGGGATGTGTAGATCAAGTGTTTACATTGAAGCATATATGTGAACAGTATTTAGATAAAGGTAGGGAAGTTTTTATTGCATTTATGGATTTAGAAAAGGCATATGATAGCGTGGATAGAGGAGCAATGTGGCAGATGTTGCAAGTATATGGAATAGGTGGTAAGTTACTAAATGCTGTAAAGAGTTTTTATGAGGATAGTGAGGCTCAGGTTAGGGTGTGTAGAAGAGAGGGAGACTACTTCCCGGTAAAAGTAGGTCTTAGACAGTGATGTGTAATGTCACCATGGTTGTTTAATATATTTATAGATGGGGTTGTAAAAGAAGTAAATGCTAGGGTGTTTGGAGAGGGGTGGGATTAAATTATGGGGAATCAAATACAAAATGGGAATTGACACAGCTGCTTTTTGCTGATGATACTGTGCTTATGGGAGATTCTAAAGAAAAATTGCAAAGGTTAGTGGATGAGTTTGGGAGTGTGTGTAAAGGTAGAAAGTTGAAAGTGAACATAGAAAAGAGTAAGGTGATGAGGGTTACCTGGAGGTTACCTGGAGGTTATTCCGGGGATCAACGCCCCCGCGGCCCGGTCCACGACCAGGCCTCCCGATGGATCAGGGCCTGATCAACTAGGCTGTTACTGCTGGCCGCACGCAGTCCGACGTACGAGCCACAGCCCGGCTGATCCGGCACCGACTTTAGGTATCCAGCTCTCTCTTGAAGGCAGCCAGGGGTTTATTGGCAATTCCCCTAATGCTTGATGGGAGGCTGTTGAACAGTTTTGGGCCCCGGACACTTATGGTGTTTTCTCTTAGTGTACCAATGGCGCCCCTACTTTTTATTGGCGGCATTTTGCATCGCCTGCCCAGTCTTTTACTTTCGTAGGGAGTGATTTCT